GAAAATGAAAATTTCAGCTTACGGTTTTCAGAACACCAGCATATATATCTGCTTGCAATCACAGGAAGAGATTGCCAGTGTGGTGACTTCTGTGTATTTTAGGCTGTTTTGCTTGGTTTTAAACTTTAGTAGGAGATTTTCAGCAGCTGCCATGGGAGATGAATGCCCAAATCACCTTAGCTTTCAGGGCAAGTTGACTATCTAAGACATCTCTCCTTAGAAAACCTTTTCTTCAAATAAGCATCATTTTGATTTCATTATGCCAGTTGTGCACTACAATGTGTTACTACAGTGCTCACTCAACTGGTTGCCCAATAGTCCCACTGAAATTAAAAGGAGCAGAAATTAAGAATATTTATGATCTACTGTACACGAGCAAGAACAATCTACTTGAATTATATACTTAGGATAAATTCAGCATTTAGAATTAAATTTCCCATCAAGTTCAGTCTTTTATGCTCACTATTACAGCAGAAAATGATAACATTTTTTTTTTTTTTTTTTTCCTCAGTTTGTTTAGCGATTTTTGAATTATGAATGCTGGGCTAAATTTTCAACTGAAGTAAACTGACAGAATTAATGAAAGTCAGTGTAGTTTTTCCAATGCACAGCTCCTTATTATATATATGTAGAATCCATCTGTCCAAATCCACAGAAAGATAATATTAAAAAAAAAAAAAAAAAAAAGATAACTACAAATAACATTTATATATGGAGACAACTTTGTCCCATTTAGTACAGTGCAAAAATGCTATCTGATGCAGCAGCGGAGACCGTGCTCTTCTATATGCTGAAGACAGTGGTGGCACAGCCTGACCTGAGAACAGGGACAGTGGTTTTCAACCTTCTCAACATGTCCTCAGTTGCCCCTCTTGCCATCACTTTTGGATGTTCCTCCTATCCTTTCCTCCATCACTTCCATCACTTACTATTGGAAGGACTTTTAAGAGCCCAAGGCTGAATCTGGTGCCAGCAACTTCAGCAAAATCAAAGTGCCTTAAAATGACATTAATGAAGTTCTGAGCTCCTTGTGTACAGGACAATGAATGGGAAGTTATAGCATTTAAATTACAGTGCTGAGTGATTCTGAAACCGGTACAGAATTTTAGGAGACAGGAATTGTTTAAAAAAAGCAATCATGAGTATGTTTTAGGAGCTTTTCCATTACCCACTCAGGGCTGATCCATTAATTAAGTGAAAGGTCAGCCTCACCTGCTGAATGAAAAACAAGAGCTGCTGCATTCTCCCGAGGCTGCCAGCAGAGACAGGAGAGTTTCACCAGTACAGCTGCTTTCAATCCAGGGCTTTATAAAAGCTATGGAATATAATGGCGGAAACTGGATTTAGATAGCTCTCTGTGGACCAAATGGATTTGATGCTGGCATGCTGCTGAGATCAGAAGTAGTATTTTCAGAAGCACTCCAATGACTGACAGATCTCAGTCTTCCCCTCAAACATGACTTTCTTCTAGTACCACACTAAGCCATGGGTGAAGGCAATGCCAGCTACCCAGTTGGTAACACAGTCTTCTGAGGGAAACTGGAAAATGTGGTTCACACTATGAACTTCTTTCTGAATTTTGGAAGATTGTTACTTGAAGGGAAATGACAAGAGAGGATACAGATGAGCTTTTAAAAGCACAGAGTAGAAGTAGGAGAAATCTAAGTTTGCAGAGTAACACAAACCTTTAGAGCTCTCTTGAAACTTCCTGATTACTCAAGCTCCGTGTATTGCAATGGAGAAGGTTATTCTAGGTTTAGGCACTCAGACAACCTCAGAAGTAATAGCATGGCTGACTAAGATTTAGGCGCTCTGCTGCTTTCAGCACAAGAGGAATGTTCTTACTGTTCATCATTATAATAGGAAGCTCTGTAATTTGGGCCAGAACTGCTAACAGAGCTCAGACTTTGATCTTCCTAAATTCACAAACAGAAAAGCAGCACTGCTTAGGTTCCGGACCTGCTGGCAGTTGTCAGGTTTGCAACAGAGTTAAGTGTCCTATTATTTTGCTAACAATCAATTGATAGTATATAAAATTTAAATATTTAGAGCTCCATTAATTCAACTGAAATGATCTTATTGATCTAATTGATCAAATTCTACAAGACTGTCACTGCAGAAGGAAATGAATTTTGTAGATTATAAATAGCTAACCAATAGTTTTGGGAGTCAGCATAGACTTGGTTTAAAAACAAAAAGACAAGATGATTCTGCAATGCAAAATATTAAGATCAGAGTAATGCATATTCATCTCCATGTGTCCATTCCTCCTGAACAAGGTGGCTGTAGGCATATGGTAGACAGAAATCACTGGGCTTTCTCTCAACAAATACAGTCCTTATGCACAGGTTTGGCTACTCTTTCCTCTGTGCATAGGGAGAAAAAAAACAAATGCTCCTGGAAGGCTGTCTGTAGTCCTGTCCTGTAGTCCTAGGATCACAGGTTGAGCTCCATCATGCTCCTTATTCCCAGCTAGCAATATCTTGCCCACTCTATTTTC